TAGCAAATCTTGATTCGTCTGACAACAATACGGTCTTCCAGAGGCTTGGTCATCATATGACATTTCCCACTTCTTTCGTCTGACTATGTTGGCAGGTCTTAATAAGGGCTTCCGTCTGGCTGCTCTGCAATGATAACCCAATCTGTGGCGAATCCGTTGAACAGATTTCGGGCTCATCCCACGAACTTTGGCCACTTCTGCAGTCGTTAATCTGGGATCCATTTTGATGCTCCTCTTAACAGCCCTTTTTGTTCTCTCCGATGAACCAGGACGACCCGGATGCTGCTCAGTTGTTTCCTTGCCGTGTTTCCTGAACTGCACAATGATTCTGTTGACTGTCGAAAGTGTGATTCCCAAATTCTGCGAAATTTGCCACTGACTTATTCCACCATCTGCTTGACCAACTATCCTTCCTCTAACAAACTCTGACAATTCGAGAAAACCTTGAGTTCTAGGCATGTTGTAGCACAAGATAATTAGTGTGCGGACCATTTTCATTTATATAGTGCTCTGTGAACACAAATTAGTTAGCATAAATCAGTTAAATGACGAAAAATTAAGTGTATATGTCGTTTCACTGCAATTTTATACCGGCTGTGGTAGTTGTGTGACTTGCTGATTTGTATATTCAAAACCCTTTTAATATAACGTACCCAACCCTATGTAGGAATAAAAAACACGCATTTCAGAAATAGAGGGGAAAATTGAAGTCACGTACGTCCTATAATAAAAAGCAAAATACAGTTCCAGAACTTAAGTACCTGAAAGTACAAATCAAAGTTCTAATCCTGTTATTCAGACTTCGTTATACAACCTTTAGATTGAGAAGTTTCTTTTAATTGACAAGGTTTAAGAAAATTGCTCGTATTATTAACTATATGTAGGAAACCGGAAGACACTTTGTATATTAAACGGCTAGGTCACAGACCCCAATAGCTGTTCCTAATTTTGAACTGCGGACCAGAGAGAAGGTAATTAGTTAGCATGACCCATCGCCAAAAGCGATTACTCATAACCGAGTAACGATATGGACTCGTGACTCACTCCTTTAACGCATCCACAGCTGAAAGTGTGAAGCATATTTGGTAGCATCACGCCTCGAACCCGAGACACTTGGGCCAATGTAGGAAAGGCAGATCAGACAAATTACTCACTGAATAAAAGTTTGTATTCTAAGTGACACGTGGAAATCAAACTTGGATTCATACTCTAGAAACTCAGCGGTAAGCTTGAGGGCTTATAACGTTCACATTTGAGACTCGACCTCTGCAGTGAGCACAACAAAGACAGTTCATTGTGCAGTTTTGCACTTAACAACAAACAAATAAACATTGTTAATTACATAATATAAATTTAAAATGGACTAAAGCAACGTTTATTAATTTGCAAATTTTTAAAATGAAGTGATTTTAAAGTTTATGTAGCCTTAAAACTGCCTATATAATTGGTCCGTTCATATGGGGTGGGGAGAGGTAAACAATTTTTTCATGAATTTCTATAAAAATAAGAGAAATTATATTAACTTGGTTATAATTGAAATGCAAGTACGTGAAAAATCAGGTGATAAAGAAGTAAGGAGAAAAGTGGATATGAAATATATTTAAAGTGATTTAGTAGTTTGGAGGCATTAAAGAAAAGAAACTGATATCATCTTAAAAAATATTAATTTCTTTTTTAAGCGGATAACATTGTTAAGCAACAGCGAAGACAATGACTGGCTGTCGTCTCTTCAAAAATTACAGCAGAAATCTAAGAACCACAGATTTGTTTGGTTAGCAGTGATTGAAAATGACATTGTGCCTTTATTTTGACATAGTGTGTTTCAGTTACAATTATCTCTTAGTTAAAGCTTATATATTCTTGATGTCGTAATTAAAACAGACGAGTTTCTAAAACATATTGGTAGTTACAACAAAATATATGTATGTCGGGCAAAGACCTCATATTATATTTGTTTTTCTATTCAAATTGTCTCCGACATTAAGAAAATGGTTCTTATTTTTAAAAAAAAATGTTTTCAATAATTTGTTAATAAAACAGGGCTAACGACACCGGTTTTATTTTAATTTTAACACACAATAAACTAAGGGTTAATTGATGATTTTATATTTATAACACCTTTCCCTTTCTTGAAAGGGTTTCTCATGTTGTAGTTCGTAAAAGTCAAATAAATGTCATTTTGAATAATTTAGTCAACTATAAGATAGTCACCTAGCTTTTTCTAAGTATTATTTGCTTTATGAGAATATGTAAATATAAACAATATAGTAAAACTGTTTCTTATGCCCCCACCCAGAAAACTTCAGGTATTATAACAATGAAATTCAAAGTTACATCACAGATAGCTCACTGTGTAGCTTGGTGTTTAACAAACAAAACAATTTCTTGTGATGTAACGTTTGTGTTTGTTGAATCTTGCACAAAAATACACTGTATTAGCCATTGCTAATTTTGAAGTGATAGACTAGAAGAAAAGCATCTTGTCAACATCACCGACTCTTGAATGAAATGTGGAATTGCCTATCACATTATAATATCCCCACCCTACCCTATGGCTAAAAGGGCAAGTACGTTTGGTGACAGGATTCAAACTTTCAACCCATTGATTTTGAGTCAAGGGCTCTAACCACCATGATATTAGGACAGCTGTAGATGTGAAACAAAATATTTGTGTTCAATAAGCCATGACAGTTTAACTCACATACGAATGTGAAGAAAATTGAAAATAATTCATCTGTATCATTGAACTGTTTTAATAAAAGCCCCATAGTGTTTCGTATGAAAATTCATGCATTAATTTTAAAAATGTTTGGATTCCTCCACTGATTGTCAAAAAATAAAATATGAAAAAAATTATACCTTTTCTTATTATTAAAACTTATGTCTGTGACATATTTATATGTTACAGTACTGGTAAAATAATTAACAAGTTAACATTGCATTTAATGAGCATGACAGATGGAACAGAATATACTTTCTATAGGTATATATTTTTAATATTGAAAATTTATACTAAAATTTTTATACAAGTTTGTGACTCCCTCATTCATACTTTTGTACTTTAATACTAATTTCAATGCAAAATAGACTGGTATTTTGAGTCTGAAAGGCTCCTTGTGTGACAAAATAGCCAGGTAAACATACTACTAAGTTTCAGGCATAGTTTTTCTTGACTTAGAACTGTTAACAGCACCCACCACCTACTCTTTTAATAGTATGTCCTGTCTTGAACCTTGTGAAGCTAACCTTGAACCCTACAAGCTAACTACTAGGAATATCTGGCTTTGTTGTTTCAGATGAGCTATTACACGGAACTCTAGTATGTAATTTGACTAACATTAACCAATTGTAGATTTCAATTAACAAAACAAGAGAATTTCTCTAAAAACACAGAAAATGCATTACTTGTCAAAAATCACCCATAAACACCTTTTTAGTAGAACTGTAAATCTCTATACAAGCACTATTAGATGTTTGCTCACCAGTGGTGAAATACAAATGTCCAATATTATCATATCAAAATCCATTTTTGACTAGGTCATTAATAAGTATATGTTGCATTATCTAAAACTACTTACCAGTTTTTATGCCTAAAATGAAGTTATCCCAGTTAATGATAAAGATATTTCATCTTTAGGCTTATCATCAAGTAAAAATGTGATGGTTATTTTCTCCTTAACCTAACTTCACCACATAATCAAAATAAATATTGCATCTATGCCTGACAAAACTTATTACAGGTATTTGTTTTATGACCTTGCATACAACTAGTTAAGAGTAATGTATTTAATTAGTTATATTAATTACTGGGTAATGTTTTTTAGTTCTGATTTATGGAAGTAACTTGCAAATTAAAATAATATAGAGCAGTAGTTCTTAGATTTTGTGTTTGTGGACCACAGTGGTATTTATATACTATGCTACCACTTCCTTTCCTTAATTATGCGATCTTTCCAAAGACTATCTGAAAGAAGCCCACAGATCACCAACAGTACACAAACCACTGATTAAGAATTGGATATATATAAGATCTAAATGATGTTAATGTACCATATCATTTGTGTGTACAGAAATAGCTGACTTTGATGAAACCAGAACAATACCCAAAAAAAAAGAAAAAAATATTTTCAATCCACAAACTGACTTTTACTTTCGTTTATGCAAAGATTTTAAATTGTTATAAATGTAAGGCAATATATGTTCGTATATTAGCACTAACTTCATGTAATACAAGCAGCTTTTCTTTGTGCCAGTAAATTACCAATAAATTTTTCACTACAAATAAACAGATACACAAACAATACCTTTATCCCATGTATGACATTTTATTAGGCCATTGTTTCAGCGTAACTTTAGCAGAGCTATGTACGTTTGTACACGACTACAATGTGTAACAGTACGATGCAGATAAACTACTGTAATGAAGTTCACAGAAAAAAAATAGAGCTTTTGATAAAATAACATACATCTGGTACAAAACTAATGCTTTTACTGATGTAGTGAAAGCACAATAAATTTTGCATACATGATTTTTAAATGAAAACAATCCCCTTCTTTTTTTTTTATAAAAAGCTGAAACACAAGTTTCTTGTTCTAACAAAGCTTTCCGTGTGTACATCCAAAATCAACTTGTGAATATATCCATCACTTACAGTCTTAAGCCTAGCTACTTAAATATCAACAATACACCAGAAGGAAAAATAACTGACCACCTGATTAAAGTTTAAGGACAACACCTACAAAATCCACAGGTCTACATGCTTTTATAACCAGTCTTCTAATTTCACTGACTGCTTCCTCTTTATAAGGTAATTATTAAGCTTTACTTGTTCAGTTACATCCTTTCAATTGACATACTTTTCGGTCAGAAAACAGAATTAAAGCTTAAAAGCAAAAACTAATGGTATTGGTTAAGTAAAAATTTGAAATACCAGATTTGGAATCTGGAACCTTATATAAACTATGCTGCCCCAAAAACAATACCCCCCCTCCACTACAAAAGCAAAGTAAGAAGTAGGGTCCCTTTTATTTCAAATAATATACGACTTCTATTTTTTTGTTTTAAATTATTATTTTTAGCAGAAAAGAATACATTTCATTACAAATTGTGAGTGAAAGTTAAAAATGATTTGCTTTAGTGAAGTTTTAACTAATTTTAAAAAGGATTTAGGCTCAAATTTTCCTAATTACAGCATATCTTACAAAAAAAATTTACAGAATTAACATCTGTGTAAACACCAATAACAAAAGGTAGTTTTCTTTAACAAACCTTCAGATTTTAGTACTTTTTCATATATTACACTCAATGAATACCTAACCATTTAATTCTTACTTGTCTTCTCCCCTATGATAAAAAAAACAAAAAACAGAAGCTATGATGTACTTTATATCCATATTAAACTTTTAAACTTCTGTTAATATCAAACATGTATGGTTTGACACATAAAAGAGATCAAAATTTAATAAAGTTTTCTTCCCCTCCCTTAAAAGAATTTGTAATTAGGAGCTGGCTTAATTGCGACAAATTATATCAAATTATGAATACATTTTGAATGTTCTGATCAGCTGGGTTTATTTCTTGATTGTTTATAATGATGAAAGCTGCTAACATTTCAAAAACATAGAATCTCAGAGACCTTATAATTCACATTGGAATAACAGCTGTTTGTCCAAACTTAACTATACAAATCACCAATAGGCATTATTTCAAGCCCACATGTTCACAGATCCCTGGTTCTGGAAAATGAACTCTGTACATTGTTTGGAAGTCAGAAAGTCTTGGCTGGATTTCTACACACAAGTAAGCCTTGACCTTTCTTAAAACCTGAACCCTTCAGAAGGAATTGAACTGTTAGATCCAAGCTGGTAACCCTGTTCTGATGATTCTGGTATCAAGTTTGGGTCCTCATCAGCCTGGAGAAGAGAGATGTGAGCATGAAATTTCTTCTCAAATAAAAGCATCTCCATATAAGCTGTTCCATAAAACTACACAGAAAACTTTATTGCCGGAATTCTAATCATCTTAAAATAGTGACTTGTTAGTACTTAGCATCTCTGAAACAAAGTTATCTGTTTTTAAATGCTATAATGATTCCAAAAAAGGCAACAATGAAATAGTCTATTTTATTTAAATGTAAGTTACAACAATATTATGAACTGAGAAACATAGACAATTCACCCCTAAAATATGCTTTTAAATTACAACATTGTTACAAAGTTATTAGAGCCTACTTTGTATACATTCAAAGTTTGTTATTATTATACTGAACTTCTGACATTCATAATTATTATTACTATATTCTGTGGCCTGTATTTCCCTCGTATATATATATCTAACAGTTTGGTATCTAGAAATACACACTGAAATAACTGACAGATAAAATGAAACAAATTAATTCACCCTTAGCCTTTATAATAAAAATATAACTAGAAACTACATTTCTACTGATTCTATAAAAAATGCCAAGCCAGTTTTTCTTCTGAATGAAACATTCACATCCTTTGAAGCAGGGTCAATTAGCAATAACATTCCTCAAATATATATAGTTAAATAAGTTTTATCAGAATGTAGTTTTAAACACAAATATAAATAGACATTTAAAAATTACTCTCCCATTTTTACAAACAAGGAAATATAGATTTTCAAAATTGAAGAACATTTATTGTTTGAGCTTACCTAAAACCTCTCAATTTTTATTATTCATGATGAAACTTACAACAACAAAAAAACTCACTTTATAATGTAGTCAACACAAAAAATCTTTTCCATGAAAATTAACTGAACATTTTAATCTACCTGCTTTATTCTAAAGATTTTAAATTTAGACTCGAGATTTTGATAAACTCAACTCACACCCTCTACCTGTTATTTACATGCTCTTTGACTCTTTCACTGCAGCTGGGATGTATATTTCCCAGCCACAGTGAAAGGGTTAAGAAAGAAGCCACTGAAGACTATAGTAAATTGTGAATAAAAAATCTCTGCAACTTAAGATTATTAATACAAGGCATGATAATTCAACCACTTCAGTTTCAGTAAAATTGTTTTTATGTCTAAAACAAACATTCAAATATATTTACCTTACATGTATTTCAGTTTCTTAAGCAAGTGACTTACAAATCAAAATGAGAAGTTTAGTTACACTGTCAAATATGACACTTGAAAACAAATAAAGTCTATACAGGTAATAATATCGGTGTCTCTATCTTTATGTTTAAATATTACTATAGAATTTTTACAACTAACAATAAACATTATTTTGTTTATGACAAAATTGCTTTGAATTGTTTTTGAAGTTTTACAAATTTACCATCTGTATAGTTAAATGATAATGCTTGGAGATGGCTTGAATGGTCACTGAAGAAAAACTTTAATTAAAGGTTTTCTTCATTACCCATTCAAGCCGTCTCCATGCATTATTAGTCTCAACTTGGGTTCCTCGTCATCGAATAGTTAAATGATGTTTTACTCATATATAGAAGGTGAAAAAATTAATAAAAGTGAATAAAAAAAGCAATATACAGTCCACTCACTAATACTGTGATGTAAAACAAACACTTAAGCTGACTACAAATTTTTTAATCATATTCCTCTTAATTAGTCTATTCAGAATTTCTGATTAAAGGTTTAATAAAATAACATTTGAAGCCCATCTTCTGACTACAAGTCACTAACTAGAAGACTTTTTGTTCAATACAGAAATACACTGAACTACACACATGACAACCATTAGTCTATGTCATATTATTTATACAGAATAATAACTTTATAATGTGGTATAAGATGTATAAAGCTAGCAAAGCAAGGAGAATTATTAGACCAAATAAATAAATATCTTCACAGTCTTTTTTATAAGACATACTACATCAATAAACTGATGATAAAAAGTTTACGTTAAAAAAAGTACATCATCAACTAAAACCTTTTAATTCTCCGATGTAAAAGTAATTGTTTGGCAAATTTGCAGAAACCAAAACACTTTCTGACAGTGCCTTTGACAATAAAGCTTAGACTTTTGTCAAGTGTAAGTCAGTTAATGATTTACATCACCAGTATGAATGACAAATGCTATGTTCAAGCCAATATCTTGTTTCCATAAGTTCTGACAAACAGATAAACTTTAGGACAATTTGTAAGAACTTTCAATTTTCATAATTAGTAGGAGTCCTTTAAGTATATACCAAAACATTAATTATAAAAACTATTCAATATTTTTCCTGGAATATTCTTCACTAAATCATTAATTACCACATTTCATTACTCCATCTTATTTTAAAGATGAGCGCTTTTGAATATTTCACTATTCTTCTTTAATCTCCTGAAGAAGAATAGCGAACTATTCGAAAGCTCTTGAGCTTTGGGTTTCATTTGAACACCATTACAACTTTTGTATGTTATACTGTGTGCTAACTTCTTAATCAAAATTTATTTTAAAAGACTTCATTAAAAACTATACAAAATTCCATACAGTAAACTATTTCTTACTTGAGGTGAAATAGTTAAAGAAATTACTTAAAGTAAAACTGTCATACTGCATACATTATAATAACAACAAAAAAGCCTTAGTTTTATATAAGGAATAAAAACAAAACACTTACGCTTTCAGAAAAGTACTGTTCAATTATTTCGTAAGCTAACTTGTAAATTTCTTCATTTTCATGATTCTGAAGTATTTCTATTTTCTCTAACCCTGAAAAAAAAATTAGTTCAATCAAAATATTTCAAGTTCTTATTGCAATCATAATTTCTTTGTCAACACATTCTAGGTTAGATTAATTATCCAAGTACTATATAATAACAAGTACAAACTCTAATTCTGAATATATTTAAAGTTATTCTGTACAGCACTGAGGCTGGATGTCTAACTGAAACACCATGAGTATGTATACAAATCCTGTGAACTATTTAAAGCTGCAGAAGATATATCAACATTATATACTACGTACAACCATTAGACAACAAAAACTGAAGTGTATCAACTGAGTTATTTTTAACACAACTGGTGTATAGTTTGTCACTAAACAAGAGTTTTTAAAAACTAATTCATGTCATACCATCTAAAGCATAACAAATACTTTTGGAAAAAAACTGTATGTGTAAATCTTCATGGATTATGTTCACTGATATATAATGCATAATATTCATTACACAAAGTCAGTCATTCAATAAAACAAAACTCACCTCCACACTCTTCTATTGTATTGGCTATGTACTCAAACTCCTTGTCTAAGACTTTGAGCATGTTACTTAATGCATCTAGGACCACCTGTACAATTTGGGCATCTCGGACAGTCAGAAGATTGCACAAAGCAGGGAGGACATTCTCACTGACCAGGTAGCCAACTTGGCTTTTTGTACCACTTAGAGTAAGATTACTGACTGCCCAGGCTGCTTCTTTCTGAGTTTGAAACTCTCCCTAAAAAACACAAGTTGCTGGTAACTACAGCTTTAATATTTATCTTAGAACATTTAAAGTTAATGCTTACTGCATCCTAACCTTACTGACTAATACATCCCAAACCCTTCTACACTACACCCTCTAACTTCTGATATATCTCCTAAAACACTAGAGTACTAGTTATGAGACCTTTGTAAAAACGTTTCTTTGAAACAAAGTAATTAAATTTTAAATAATATAAAAATTCAAATTATAATATACAATTTCATTAACATATATTGATAGTAAAGTGATTTAATTAAATTCTGAATGTAACACAGTACCGTACACAAAAAGGAATTTAAAAATGGTGCTGGAGATTATAAGGTTAAAGCTTGTAACAGTATACATCTGTTTCTACTTAAATTTTATTGTTTTAATCACCTTTGTCTAACTAATAATCCTACCACTAAAGTTGTAAATCACTTGGCAAATGAGTAGCTCACATTATCCTATTAAATTACATAATGTATGGGCGACTAGTGAGCATACCTTGTGAAATTTTTTTTATTATTTATTATTATTTTTCTTTATTTTACTTAATCTAACCTAATAAGTTTCTACTTTTTACATTTCAGTTCCCTTATAATAATAAAGAATACACAATGAAAAACAACAAATATAGTACTTACCTGGATCATCATCTTTTTTGCTATCAACTATTGATGAAACTTAAACCTACCATTTTATACTAATGGTACCACCATACCAATTTTTTTTATTTAGTTAAATACTGCCCCCCAAAACACAGAATAATAACATGTAAAAAATAGACAATGTCCTATAACTATCATAATTTTCTGGC